ATAAGGGACGTACTTCTCCAAAGGATTCCAAAGAGATAGGGGGTGATGGTAAGGGGCAGGCATGGAAAAGAAATATTGCGCGCGGACCAAGGCGTATTGACTGAGGTCTCATCCCGGGGCGTCTGAAAGGCATGAAATTCATCCGGGAGAGGCAAAAACCACCTATCCGCCACCGGCGGACTTGATTTTCTGAAATGCCGAAAACGCGCATGTTTAGCACATACAGCAAAATTCTCTCTTGAGCTGGATGGAACTCTCGGCCTCCCAGGAATCGGCCGCTCGGAACGCAAGGAGGTGTCTGTAGTCGCCACGGGCGTCGGTAATCCCACTATGAGAAGTACTTTCTTGGAACAAAGTTTTTTAATCGCATCACCAAAATACTCAATCTGAGCCTCTGTGTCCCAGAAGTCAGGAATGTTCTCTCCCCTCATTTTCCGATATTTTTTCCTCCTTTGTCCGATGAATCGTGTTCTACTGGGTGAAAATTCATTAAAATTTTATTACAACGTGGGAATGCAGCACTGCTTCTAATTATTGAATCAAAAAGAATTCTTGATTCATAAATGGAGCCCGTAGAGGAGAGATCATTGGTAATTGTCGGAGTAATTCCAGCGTCAGACATATTTTTTAAATGTTTGTTTCAACGAAGTAATAAGGAGAGGCAAACCGAACGTTTATTATTTCATCTTCCGTACTCATAAGGAGAATGCCATTGACAAATTGTATGAAACTATTAGAATGAATCACTATTATCACTAGTAGTATCAATTTCCCGAACAATGAAAATTATTCCTGAAAGTGCAAGGATATGTGCTACACACTCTTATAAGGGACATTGTAAAGGCAACATCTCATTTAAAGGAATGCTCGATCAGGATATTTCCAGAGTCCATAGAGTACGGACACAACCAGCTGGAATTCTGGTTAAACTCATAAGTTTGAAGTAATATAAGCAGAACTACCGCAGGTGAGATTCTTGCCCTAACAGTACTATATTTGCGTCCTCTCCCCTTCGTTTGACTTATTTCCATTTCTCCCCGTACCTACACCTCTATTCTCGGTACCATACGGCCTTAAAGTATGCCCCACACATTGCCCGGCTCGGCTTACTTTCATGCGCTGTAACTCATTCGTCGAAACTCGTTCTCCAGAATAGTTTCTTATTCGTTCAGCGAATCGTTGCTTGTGTTCAACGACAAACTCCATTTCTTCAGTAAGTCTTCATTTTGTCCTTTGGGTGTGCCCGGTGTTTGCTATTGGTTGGTCCGTGGCTGATTTCCCTATTATCCACTATTTTTTCTGTCCTAACTCTACAGCTCGAGGATAAAAATTTCCGAGTAGATGTAAGAAATTGACTGGCTCCCAAACCTCAACGCTATATTGTACTTCTCATTTCGAAATGTTGCCTAATAAAATGAAATGTTGTAATTTATATCTAGAAATTAACATTTACGATAGTATTTTAAACTTTTCAAGTTCCACAAGTATATTAATGGCGTAAATCGGTTAGCTAATCGCCTGAACGTGTTAGTTTGGTGGTTATCTAGGTCACACCCATTGAGCCCTCGTGGCGGCGTCGTGTGTGGCTGTGGCGCGGGGGCGGGGGCGCAAACGGATCTGCATCGCCGCGCAGGGGCCTCGGCGGAAGTGGAGGCGACGCCACAGAGCGGGGAGGATCTTGTGAGATGTAAGGGTGGGAGGCGTGATGGAAGAGATGGCGGAAATGGGATGTAGGTCGGAAGGTGGTGGGGAATGAGTTTGTAGGAGCTAGCAGAGGAGGTAAGGTGGCGGGGACGAAGTGCGAGGATGAGACGGTATTAATGCGGGACTTGAGACACATTGGAGAAGAAGTAGGGAAGGATGTGGCGGGTGGGTACGGTAGAGGCACGTTGGCAGGGACGGCGGAACGGAGGGGAGGCGGGGCAAAGCTGGCTTGCGGTGGGGACGAGGCAGTTTTTTGATGCCGGAGGGCGAGTAGAAGAGGTACGGCCCAGACGGCGGAGGAGGCAGACACATCGTCGGCGGTGGCGGAGGCGGAGGCGGAGGCGGTGTGTGCGTTGCGGAGAATGAGGTCACGGGTTAAACAAAGAAAAGCCAAGCCATTTCGCAAGGAGCACTTAACCCTTAGGCTTAGGGAATCGCGCTACAAAACTTACTACTTCTCCAAATGGTGCTTGGTGGATTGTCTGAAGCAAAACGTTACTGTTCTCTTAATGTAGGGAAGGTTGATGTATTTATACCATGAAATGTAATTATTCAAATTACCTTGTGTGTGTATAATTGTATTATTCAAATTTTTAAATGTTTGAATATGTATTTTTTTCATATTTTCTTAGTTACCTGTTTAAGTACAAGTGTTTGCATAATTTACAAATAATAAAGGTTAGTTTTGTTTTAATATTTACCTTACTTGGTTATATTACTTATTTATATTTTATATTGAATTTTGGTGATTTTTGAAATATTAAATTGTTTTCATATTAAGTGTATTCTACTTCTAGGGTAGAAAATTTTTTTAATCATCCAAATTATACATCTTCGTCAACACTATTTAAAGAGAATTTCAGCGCCCGACAAATCGTACTCTTGACATGGTGAACAAAAACCGAAGGGATAAAACCAGAATAAAAAACAGTGTTCCTTGTCAAAAATCTTTTCCTTCGTTTGGGCGCTACTAAATGCTAAGGACTCAGCTATTCATCAAATACACAGGCGTTGAAAATGTATCCACCTGCACGAATAGTCGTTTGGGCCGAAGCGGAATGCGCGTCGCGTCGCGGGGCGCCAGGCGCCTCGTCGACCTGCGAGGGCTCGTCCGTCTCGCCCGGCGCTCGGCGCAGCCCTCGCTCCTCTCCGGGCGTCCACCCATAGCTGCCTTCGCGCCGCTATATCGCGCTCAACCCCTCGTCTTTGGCCTCCTCCCAGGCGGCGGGGGCGGGGGCAGGGCGCTGCAGCGCGCGAAGCCGCGGCGGGGCGCAATTGACAAAAACAAGGCAGCAGACGAGACGGGACGGCTGGGAGCAGTGGGGCGAGGGTGACGGAGGCCGCATGCTGAGACGGAACGGTGCAGGGACGGGCACAAAGTGGGAACGGAAGCGGATCCGGAGAAGAGGTGGCGGAGGCGGCAACCGGCCGGAGCAGAGCGGGGAGCGGGAGTGCAATTGGAAGAGGGCAGGACAGAATGGAGGTGAGGTGGGGACAGGAGCAGCGGCAGCGTCGGCGCGGAGGCGGGCGCAAGTGCGGACTGGGCGTCGATGACGCTGCAGAGATGAGAAGTGAAACGAGCAGTGGGAGGAGCGGTGGCGGACATGAGAAGGTGTGTGGGGTGGGGTGGGGGCTGGACCAAGGCAGTTGCGTCGGGACAGTAGAGGCGTGCCCGCCCGCAGGGCAGGCGCCGCTGGCAGCGCTGGGGTCGCGCTGTGGGTGGCGCTGTGGGTGGCGCAGTGGGCTGCGAAGCGACCCTGCGGCGCCTCGCTAGGACCGGTCATCCTATTGCTGTTACTCAGCAGAACTACTCATGATGAAGAGTTATACTCGCGATTTATGATAACTGGGACGGACAAATGAATTCACCTGAGTTCTGAAAAGTTTGGAGGTTCCTAAAACACAATTTCATAGAAGGCACACGAGTTGATATGGATGGTTTCGTTTCAAGTGTTTACTGCTGTTCGATGCTTCGATTAGCACTTTTGGCAGACGGAGAAAGTGTAAGCATTTTTTTTATTTTTACAACTTTTCGACTTGAAAGGCTCTACCTTCACTATCGAGTCAGTGAAATGGCCACAGACATGTCTCTTGGATCATGTGTCGTACATTAACACTTTTGGGGCTTGGAAACAAGGGGTATACCACAATCAGCTTCAGACATTTTGTACATATGAATCGGCATATAGAAACTATTATTTATGGTAATGTTGTTATATGAATAACAATGAATGCATTATGATGCTAATAATAGTGCACCATATAACTAACGTGTTTCAGCATGTAGAAAAAAACCGCAATTTTATTGCTAATAATACCCTCTTCTTAAACCATTATATTGCATCATAATCTTTCATAGGTATGCACAGAGGGGTTCATGCTCCCTCTGAACACTTCAAATGACGACCCGTATCCGTAAGTAATAAAACATTTAATATCCGTTTTGTAATCAATTCTTTACTTCCCACTATTTGAGGTGCCTGGTCGCAAGATTTATGTACTATTTTCGGGGAAGAGGCGCTTCAAGTCATGTGCCAACGCTGTAAATGGTTCAACATTAATAAATAAGACTGATTTTATTTTAGTCTCCTTTTTTATTTACTTTCTATTCCTCGCACAAGTTTTCTTGATGCACGAGCTCCCTAGTCCTCGCCCAGCGTTGAATAGCACGGCACGTTGAGATACTTAGGTTCGACTCCAATTTACAATGCTGGCGACAACCACCTCGTACTTTCGAAATAATCGTAGCATTTCGCGTTGCACACCATGCCCCCACAGTTGCGAAGTTAATGCCCACACTTGGTACGCCTTTTAAGCCGCGAATTAGTCTGACCCCTCCTCTCCCCGCATCCTCCGCTGTGGAATATTCAGAAAACTTGCGCTTGTAGTAGTCAAATGTCATGTGTAAGTAAAAGCGGTTGACGGGTAAGAAGGTCCAGAGGGCCCCAGAAATGTGGTTTCCCCCCTGTTTTAGACTGCGCACGCCTATGATTACATTATTATTATTATTATTATTATTATTATTATTATTATTAT